GACAAAGGAGGAAGAAGAAGAAGAAGCTCGAGTAGTTGGGTCCTTTACCCTACTCTCCCTTTCGATCTCCCAATATCTCATTCATCTCCTTTCTGCGATCTCATAGATTTTTTACAGCAGCTTCTTCCCCTGCTTTGTTACCAAAAAATGTGCAGAAAAAAGTTCGAGCGTTAGGAACGATGGAACAACCTCCGGAGCCCTCGAACACTTCAGTCACTTTTGACTATACCTTTGAGGCTCCCAACTTCTTTGTTCAACATTCTATCGACGTTGTTAAGTCAAGGGCATAACTCTAATACATCGTTAGTAATGTTAGGAATTATGAATCTTACTGTAAGCTCTCTTGATTTTGCTTTTGATTTCTCAAAAAAGTCTCGTACCAATGGAGATAGTATTCCTTATTTATAAACCCATGATCAACACCTTAATGAGTCGACCGGACTCCTCTCCCAACAATCCTCAACACCAGCATTACTTATAAACTCATGATCAACACCTTAATTAGTCGATGGGACTCCTCTCCCAACAATCCTCAACACCAGCATCGTTATAGATATCTATTCTGGTAATTTTTTTTACTACAAACGTTCTGTGTGGCCAAAAAATGATGCTAAACTAGACCAAGGAGTTCTGCGAATTTTTCTTCTATCAAGGAATGCCTGCCTCAGCCATCCTTTAGCATAAGAATAGGTAGTCTTTTGATTTATCTTTAGTTTCTGATACAGCCTCCACTGCAGTCCATGAGATATCGAGTATGGTCACCAGGACCTGACATTTTCTATGCCCATACTTACTCTGTTAGTAGCCCAGCTCTATTCTTAAACAGGATGCACCAACAATTTTCTTGCACATTTGGAAGGGAACGATTGCTGTCTTACGTTCTTCATTGCTTTATCTCTCTCACTTTGATAAGGATGGTCTTTGTACATGATGTGTTTTTTTTTAGGTCTTCTACGATGTGGGAAGAGCTGCCGTTTGAGGTGGACAAACTATCTAAGACCTGATATCAAACGTGGCCCCTTTACCACCGAGGAAGAGAAGCTTGTTATTCAGCTCCATGGAATTCTCGGAAACAGGTGATAATACTACATTGTTTTCTTCCTGAATAATATCATAGATTTGATTTCTAAAGTTTATGGTACCTTTTCTTTCATGGCATCCGAATTATCGATTAGTTTAAATTTTGTAACTGGACTACCGCTAGCAGATACTGTTTTCTTTGGACTTTTTCCTCGAGATTTTAAAACGAGTCTACGATGGAGAGGTTTTCATACCCTTATAAGAAATGTTTCGTTCCCCTCTCAAATTGACGTGTGATCTCACAAATTTTGTCATTTTTCGTTTTTTTGAGAAGGAAATCAATTTTATTGATACATGAAACAAAAAGGAACGTAGCCTCCAACACCTAAAGGTGCGTTACAAAAAAAGGATGTCCAATTAAAATCAAAGAAGATGAACTATAATGAGTAAAAGTGTCCTAAAAGAAAATTGTCATTATCGTCTGATGTTTTGCTATATGTTAGTTTATATTCTATGTCGCTCTCGTTCTTTATGGTCTTTTTATTAGTTAGTTAAAATATACTCAAGATATTCTTACTCATGCTCATTTGCTCGACAGCAAACCAGCCCACAAGGCGCAGTCCCCACTCTGTCTCCGCCCCTCTTTCTTTCTTCGTCTAAAATACACCCTAGAGTCCGTATTTTCAGTTTCTGCCCCCTTCTTCCTCTCTTGTTCTGACTGCCACCACGTCCACCCTCCTTCACAGTCACCATCGAGCCCTCTCTCTTTTTCACTTGCCCTTTTCTCAGATAGAGTCATTACCAGCGAAAGTTCTCTCGGACAACATTAGAGGTCTTTCTTTCTGACCTTCCGCTATAGTGAAAGATGTTTAGCCTGTATTTGCCCATTGGAACCACTTTCAATAAAACTCAAGGCTAAGTCTCGACTCTAAATGGTAGTTTGTAAAACCTGAAGGCCATTCATATTAAAATGTTTGCTTTAACTGAGGTTTCGAGATTCTTTGAAAATCAGGATTAAAAAAATCATCATTCTCGGACTCAATCTACTTTGTTCAACATGTTTTAGCCTTGAATTGTACTGATCGAGCGCTTTGCAGGTGGGCTGCTATTGCTTCTCAACTACCCGGAAGAACAGATAACGAAATCAAGAACTTATGGAACACCCACCTCAAGAAACGTCTTCTTTGCACTGGCATTGACCCTCAGACACATGAACCCTTCAACTCTCGCAGCTCCTTCTCTACAGCACCGGCATCACCGAGCACCCGCCACATGGCACAGTGGGAGAGTGCTCGGCTCGAAGCCGAAGCTCGACTTTCAAAGGAATCATCACTCTTCACCCTCCTCCCCACGGAAAGAACAACTGATTCTGACTTTTTTCTTCAAATATGGAACTCTGAAATTGGTGAATCATTTCGTAGGTGCAGGGAAGACAAAACAACATGTCAAAGCCAAAGTCCCATATCCTCATCAACTAAATACGAGTCGGTTTTCGTCATCGCTACCGACAACGTAGTCAATTACACCGGTGGCTCCTCAGCCATGGAAAGCTATAATGAAAATGAAGAAACGGAATACAAAAACTTCAAACCTATAGCTGACATTCTGATGTCGAAGTCTGATTCATCGAGTGTGAACGAGTTCGAGGAGTCATCAGACAGTGCATTAGAACTGCTTCTTGACTTCCCCATTAACAATGACATGAGCTTCTTGGAAGAAAACAACGCATAGCATCTGCAGTAGAGAGATAGCAAAGCTTGTGAAGATTTTAAGTTGTTCGTATGGTAGGTTAGGTCCCAAAGTTTTGTGGATTGTTGTTACCAAAACTAAACCATTTTTCTTTGTTTTTGTGCTTTGAAATGGAAGCTGTGATGAAAGAAAGCGATTCCTATCGTGGTATCTTCTTCACTAAAGGGGATCTCTACTAAGGGCCAAAGTTCAGTTTGTAGATAGCATATATGGTTCTTCCGGATGTAGAGCCATTACATTATTAGATACAGTGATTAATGTATAACTGCTTTCAATTCCCATCTATTTTTAATGTAAGTGCTTCTTTCTTCTCCTACCGAGCCCGGAGAAAGTCACCGATGGTAGGTTAATACAGATCTCCTGCAGCTGATTCGGTTGATAGCATAGGAAGTTGTAGCTCCGTCTATCTTTTTGCCCAGAATGAATGTCCAACGGAACCTACTCCACTGAATCGAGGTACTTTCTTGTTTTTGGCATCAACCCCAACAATTGCTTAACGAATGTATCTAAGGCTATCAGATATACTGATTTGCTTCGGTGAAAAATTTGGCTAAAAGGTCTGAAACTTGCACTAATTCATGAGCTTCTTCTCTTTTCTAGGAAATAACAATCAAATCAAAAGAGTTGGGCGAGAACGAGAAGCGAAGAACGCTCGATGTCTTTTCTTCCTAAGTCACATGTGCTGATAGCCTAGGAGAAGAGAAGCAAGCCACCTTCACTACCTTTTCTTCTTCCCGAATCACATATTACGTTAATAACTAAAATTTCATTTCAACCCAAATGTAAAAAAATCTTACCCAAGTTAACTTTTATGATTTGAGTGGAGTAATTTAAGTTCATCGAGTTATCTAATTATATATTTTTTTTAAATGCTTTAATAAAAAATAAGTTAAAAAACTTTTTATTAAAAAAAGTTACATTTGGATTCAAAACCAAAAAGAAAAGTAATACTAATTATAATAATAATAATAAATTGTGGAATAAGCAAGTAGAAGGAAAAGAGCATTTCTTTTAGTTTTCCTTTTGGTTTTGCGCATATAACAAAAGGAATATGCGCATCTAAAGTAAAAGAAGGTATTTTACTGCAATTACCACAGTTAAAACTTATATTTTACCTATATATAGAATTTTCAATATATCTCTAATTATTTTACGACTTTCTTGGCTAACTACAGATCATAAAGTGTAGCTATGATATCAATTATCATGATCGTACCATACAAAAGTGTGAATAAATCTAAAAATATTATTACTCAAGTAAATAATACAGAGTTATGAGAAATAGAATTGGGATTGAAAATAAAATTGAGATTGAAAGTTCAATCTTTATTGATATTCCCAACTATTACAAGCTAAATAGTTACCAATTATTACAGGCTACCAACTCATACTTACAGTTAAATAAAATATAAATTAACAAAATCTTGAGAATAAAATAAAATATACTACTAATAAGAAAAAATATTATATATAAAATATATTACATAATTAATATATTATCCAAATATTAATTAATTACGGATATCCGAAATATAATTCGTAACTAATTTAAATCAGCAAAAAATTGCACTAAATTGTGATAGCAGTGAGTCGTAATAAAGTGTGATGTGATAATGAAAATTGTATGTATGTATAGGTAATGTATATATATATATATATTTATTGAAATAAAATTTTTAGGTTGAATTGTAAATTTGATCTTTTTTTTTTTTTTTTTTCTTAGAAGCCTATATACGTATGTATTTCTTGATCAATAGCGCTGCCGCCGTTCTGTTTCTTCGGCGTTCGCTGTAATTTCTGAACTCGTTTCACATACGGAAACACTTGTGTTCGTGATTTGATCATTGATTTGCTACTGAAATCTGGGCGTGGTTTACGATGCAATGAATGTGTTCGACGAAATGCTTCTTCCAGGTTTGGAGTTTCAACCCAATTACATAACTGCTGATATTGTTTTCACCAAATTGTTGAAAATAGATGGGAAGATGAAATTGCTGGCTACGTAGCTAAATTTGATAAACAGAATGTTGTTCTTAATGTCATTAGATTAACGTTCTTGATCTTCAAGCTTTGTAGGTTTAGAAATACAGATCCTGCGTAGAATGTTTTAGGTGATTTTGTGAAATCAAAATGATCTTATAACTTTTGGTTATTCTTATCAATCATTTATGTAAGTTCATAAGGATTGATGATGCATTGAAGGTGTTTGAGAAAATGAAGGGGAAAAAGATGGAGGCCTAGGCTGTTACTCCTGATTGATGGGCAGGCAAAAAGAAGGATTGTGCTTGAAGGGAATGATAAGGTCTGATGGTTCTGCACCCAATATTGCTACCTGCAATTGCTTGATTGATGGATACTGTTAATGCAGGTGACATTGAAAGAGCCCATGGGCTCTTTAATCAGATGGTCAATGAACAAGATGTTGCCAAATGCAATCACCCTCAGTACTTTAGTTGATGGAACGTGCAAAGAGGGTGTTAGAAATAAGCCACGGCCGGACGGAACAACGGTTTACAACAGAGTGACTCTGGATATTTGAATGAAGAACTCCAATGCGCGTATTCAAAGCTATGTAGATGTTGTAGTTGCAGAAGCCGGATCAACATCATGACAATGACATTCTGGAAATTGTTGGACTAGTCACAATTGCATGGTAAAGTAAGTCGTGAAGTATACTGCTCAAACCCACTGCTAGTAAATATTGTTCGTTTTGGCCTATTATGTACCTCATGGCTTTAAAATGCCTCTACTATGGAGAGGATCTAGCCCTACTCCACCCAATGTCTTGCACCGTCCGGTGACTGGCTCTGATACCATTTGTAACAGCTCAAGTTCACCGCTAGCAACTATTGTCCTCTTTGAGCTTTCCTTTCCAGGCTTCCCCTCAAGGTTTTAAAACGCCTCTTCTAGAGAGAGGTTTTCACACCCTTATAAGGAATGTTTCGTTCCTTTCTCCAACTAACGTGGGATCTCACAATGAACGTGTCTATTACATAACGGACCAAAATGGATAATATCTACTAGCGGTGAGTTTGAACCGTTACATGAAGTTGAAGTCCTTCCTTTCTAACTTACAATGTAAGGCAATAGGATTGTTAAAGCAATGGAGCATTATTTTGATGAATGTCCTAAGCTGAATGCTAGACTGATGTGTTGATTATTACAGTTTGATGTGGTTTAGCTGAAGCTGAACGGGTTGGATGATGGCAGCTTTGTTGTGTGGAAGAACAAATCAGAAAAAGCTAATGAGTTGAACAACAACATTGATGAACACATCAAACTTTTCTGCTGCATCAAAGCTTCTCCCAACACAGTAATCTACAAAAACGAGGTAAATACAAGATGTTTCAAATCCTTCTGTTTTGCATGCCTTAATATTTATTGTTCTTAAACTATTAATGCTAAACGTTGAATCTAAGATTCATTTAACGACACGAAGGTAGGAATTCCTCTTTAGAGGGAGAATGTCGATGAGAATAGAGAGAGATTTCTCTTCGTTAACTATAAATAGAGGTGGGGAGAAATTTCCTACCGAAAATCTCTCGACCCCCCCTCTCCCCAAGAGAATAAATAGAGAATTTTGTGAGGATAAAGATTGAAATAAGAGGTTGGGACGGTGATGAAGAAGTTGTCTCCCTTGGGATGTTTAAAAAATCTTATGAACCGACTAACCCGATCAATCCAACCCAACTCAACTCATACCGTTTGGATTGGGATATAAATTTATTTTGGTTGGGTTTAGTTCGGTTCAAATAAATGAAACTTTATAGATTTGGTCGGTTCATAGATTCTCTTAGATTGGGTTGAATCAAACTAAATCAATTTATTTTGGTCGGGGAAGGAAAAGCTGTCCCCCTTAGAATGTTCAAAAAATATTATGAACCGACTAACTCGATCAACCCAACCCAACTCGTATAGTTTGGGTTGGGATATAAATTTATTTTGGTTGGGTTTGGTTCGGTTCAAATAAATGAAACTTTATGGATTTGGTTGGTCATTGGTTCTCTTATATTAGGTTGAATCAAATCAATTTAATTTATTGTTAATTTTAAAATATATATTTTTATTTAGGGGAGTCATATATACCATCTTCATTATTATTTATTCTTCGACCACTATTAAAAATCATTTTTACCTTGAGTTATAAATCTTCATTAAATGTTAGAATATAAATGTTTTACGAAATAACATCTTAGTTTTATTAAAAACAAAAATTTGAACAATGATCAAAATAACCCAAACCCGCTCAAAAAAATTTATAACTAGATTGGGTTAGGTTTATTATTTAATAAACGTTTTAGGATTGTTTACAATCTAAACAATTAGGTTGAGTGTAAAAAATGTTCAAACTTGATTCAACCTATTCCTTGAACATCCTTAATCTTCGTTCCGTAGACATCTATAATTATGGAGTAGACAAAAATGTCTCATCCCGATCTAACCTATCCCATGAACTCTCTTAGTCTCCGCCCCATGAACATCTCTAACCGTGGAGTAGAAAAAAATGTCTCAACCCAATCTAACCTATTCTATGAACACCCTTAGTCTTGGTCTCGTGGATATCTCTAACTGTGGAGTGGCAAAAAAATGTGTCAAACTCAATCCAACCTGTTCCATGAACACCCTTAATCTCCATCCCATCCCGTGGAGTAGTGCTTTTCAAAAAAGCCCAAGTTATTGAGAACTTTTGGCTTGAGCATTGTTGTTTTAAAATCTTAATCAATCTGAAGCTCTTTACACACATTTGCCCCCATTGACTTTTCTCTCCTCACACACAAACTTCATAATTTATCTCAAATTTGCACTCTTTTCTCTAATTTTTATTATCTCTTGGTGTTGAATGGCTACCATTTATCCACCAACTGGCATCAACTACACACAAAAATTCCAAATCCCCCTTTTTGTATAACATCAAAAAAAAAACACTGATTCTCCACCATTGCTTTGAAAAAGAAGCATATTCTTCATCCCCCATAGCCATTTTCTTTATCTTCCACAAAAAAAAAGAAAAAAAACTCTTAATTTGCTTCTCTGTCAACGCCATTATGCGTCATCCATGGCTTGATTCCTTCCACTAGTCAACCCCATTTGCAAATTTGTTCTGTTTTTTTCTCACAAACCCACTGAATCTTGCTACTGGAAATCACTGTTTTTCTTAGATTTGTTCTGAAATTTAAGCAGAAAAAGATGAGAAATGAACTGCCTCGTCTTCCTTAATAAGGCCAGCTAAAACACTGTTAAGATCTTTGCTCTGTTTTGTTTGATTTTACAGATCTCTATTGGAAAAGGAAAGGAGGGTTGGAAATTGCTTTAACAGGGGAGTTTTACAATTCCTCCATCTGGGTTTTAGTTAAATGCTGCTAGTGGCGGTTGGAGCATTGTTAAACAGCCATGGAAGTCCAAAACTCGCCGGAAAATCATCGGAAAAGCAGTCGTCGGCGTTAGGACTGTCGAGTTCTTCAAACCCCACGTAGAAATCGTCGTTGACGATTAAATCAGAGACCCCCAGATCGTTGTCTTCTTCGTCTTCCGCCAATGATTCCTCTTTCTCTTCTTCTTTGCTCTCCGTGATCGTACTCAGATCTTCAGACGAGCAAACGAGCTGTTTCGCGTCGGGTTTTTCCGATCCGACGTCGGTGGGTGTCGGCGTGTTGGCCTTCTGACGGGTGGAGCCGGCGAGGGAATTCCGATGAGTTGGCGCCGGGTGGTTGTGCTCCGCCGTGTAAGTAACTATGAACATTCCCGGATCGGATCTGTTCCTCTCCACTTGTTTCCGGGCCATGCAACCCTTTGAACTACTACATCTGTAATATCCCCTGTTTTTTTTCATCATCACTAAATCAAATCAATACCCTTTACTCCAAAATCAAAACCTTAGCTTCAAAATTTGAAATCGAGTTCGAACCTTGGATATGGAGATCCCTTGATGGGTTTTTGTCCATATTTTCTCCAAGCCCAAATGTCCGACGACAGAGCCTCCGCCGGAACCTGACAGACTTTCTTCAACTGGTTCTTCCTAAAACAGAGCAAAACAGAGGAACACACAGAAATCGATTAGCTTCGAGAGAAAAAAAAAAAAAAGCACTTTTCAGAATCAAGACGTGATGAAAGTTCACTCACCGGCGTTTGGATCTCGGAGCAGAAACGGAGGTTGAATGGAGCTGTTTAGGGAGATGGGTGTTCTGTAGTTGCTTCTGATGGGTCAGAATTTTGACCGCCGGAGAAGAAAGAAGCGGCGGAGCAGGCGGCGGCGGCAGTGGAGGAGAGCGTTGAGATTTAGGTAAAAAGGGGTTAAAAAACTCCTGCAATTCCTCAGTAGAATTACAATTCGACCCATCAAACGGATCTTGAAGCGACAACATACGGTTCGTTTGGTCTCTGCCAAACGCCATAGGAACAGAGTTATTGGAATTGGAAGAAACAGAGTAAGAGTCGGAAGAAGGAACAGCGGCGGAGGAGACGGCGGAGGAGGAGGCGGCGGAGGTCATGGCGGAGTAGCCTCTAACGACGGCGTGAAGATCCCAATCAACTTCCATTTCCATAGACAAAAACTGAGGTCTGAAAAAATCTGTACGTTTGTCTCAGCTTCTTGTTCAGTTTTTGTTGAGAGAGAAAAAGAAAGCAGACAAAAGAGGTCGCTGACTTTTGGAGATAAGGCTGTAATGAGTAATGAGTAATGAGTAGGAAAAAATTAAAAAGAAAAAAATAATTATTTATAGAAAACAAAATGTAGAGATAGAAAGAGAAAGTTAGGGCTTTTTTAATTTTTTTTTTATTTTTTATTTTTAGAGAGAGAAAGAAACGGGTGGGGGTGGTGGAGGAGGGCATCTCTATGCTTTTTTTTTTTTTTTATCCCTTATTAAAAAAAAAAAGGTTTTTATTTTTATTTTTATTTTAATAAAATACCCATTTTTATTATTTCTTTTATTTGAAGAAATATTTAATTGTTTTTTTGGGGAGGTTGACTTTAGAAAATGTCAAAGGCCGGAATTCAATTTATTAGAAAAAGAGGAGAGAGAAATTAAAAAAAGATGTGGATTTTGATAGGCGTGAGGCTACACACGCTGCAATCTGTACAGACAAAAAGAGTCATTATTTTTATTTTTATTATTAAAAAAATTTATAATTAAAAAAAAAATTAGAATTTTGTATTTTTTAAGGTTAGAATTAGTTTCTAAAAAACTATTTATAAAATTTTGTTAAATTAAAAATACGAAATTGTAGCCCTAAAATATATATTTATAATTTAATTAAATGTATATTAAATAAAAAATTTTGAATTATGGTAGAAGGGAAGTGGATGGAGCGAAAATTGGCTCGCCCTATCAATTCTATTAGAGACAATGTGACTTAAATGTTAAGGGTGTACCCGGGTTGTCTTAGGTTTGAAACTCTTGTGAATCAACATGAAATTTCGAGTTCATTGAGTTAGTGACTCAAGCAATCCGAATCGAGTCCACAACTCAACCCAACCTGAAACTCTAGATAGCCCAAGCCTATTTTTTTAAAAGTAGGGTTGAGTTGTAACTCTATTTTTTTGTGGTCCCAAGCCTAGATATTGTTCTCTCTCGGGAATTCTCTGTGCTTCCCCTCAAAATTTTTAAAAAGTAGGATTGGATTGTAACCCTATTTTTTTGTGGTCCCAAGCCTAGATATTGTTCTCTCTGGGCTTTCCCTCAAAATTTGTATAACGTGTTGGGTTGTAACCTTATTTTTTTTGTAGTCCGAAGCCTATATATTGTTCTCTCTAGGATTTCCCTCAAAATTTTTATAACGTGTCTGTTATGAAGGGAGAGGTTTTCACATCCATGTTTTGTTCCCCTTTTCAACGAATGTGAGATTAATAAGTGAAAAGTTTTCCTATCTTAAAAATATTTAAAAACAATTAAATTATCTATATGATATAAAATAACATTTTATGTCGAATGAACCCATAACCTTTTAATTTCACATCTTTGAATTTTTTAAAATATTGGATAAATCAATAATCTATTTAACACAAAATTAAAAATTTTAAATATTTATTAAATATAAAATTATTATTATTTGTAGATTCTCGTATTTGTAGATAAATTAATGACATAAATACGTTTTTTTTTTTATAATTTAACCCCAAACTTGGTCAAACTCATTTATGTAGGTGGATTATTATTTAGTATTATTATATATATAAAAAACAAAATATAATAAAAGAGAGATTAAAAATATGGTTTGACTTTTGTTTTTAACACATGGAAGTAATGAAGG